AGTCCGCCCCGAAGAAGAGCTCTGTGGACGAACCGGAGCCTGAGCCCGAAGCCGCAGAGGGAGACAGCTACAAGAAGGGGAGCGCCGAGGGTAGCAGTGATGAGGAGGGGAAGCTGGTCATCGACGAGCCGGCCAAGGAGAAGAACGAGAAGGGGGCGCTGAAGAGGAGAGCAGGGGACACGCTGGAGGTGACACCACCTGGAGCCGCGGAGGGGGTGGGCGGGCAGGGGTACTTCAGGGACATCCTGATCTGGGGAGACCAGCACCTAGTCTGGGGTCCCTAGACCCTTCAGCTGGCAGAGGGCTGGGGAAGCGGACAGTGGGTGTGCCCAGGAAGGAGCCTCTCTGGAAGCGGGGGCTCTGCTAGGTGGCTGGGATCCTCCCTCTCTGGCCTCAGTGGGCTTCATCTCTGCCAATCCTCCCCAGGACTCCCCTAAACGTCCCAAGGAGGCAGAAGACCCTGAAGGGGAGGAGAAGGAAGTAGCCCCCTTGGAGGCTGAGAGGCCCCTCCCTGTGGAGGTGGAGAACAGCACCCCCTCGGAGCCCAGCTCTGGCCGGGGCCCTCCTCAAGAGGAGGAGGAGGAAGAGGAGGAGGAGGAGGAGGAAGAGGCTGCCAAGGAAGATGCTGAGGCCCCAGGCATCAGAGATCATGAGAGGTGAGGGAGCCCCCTGCCCTGAGGCAGCTGGGCTGGGGGGGCCTGGCCACCCAAGGAGAGGAGGAGGAGGGCCTGCATCGGAGGCAGGGTGGGCTCCCCCAGGACACTGGCCCTGGCTGGGGTGTGGCTGGCAGAAGGCCACGCGATAACCCTTCTCCCCTCCAACCCTCCCCCGCAGCCTGTAGCCACCAATGTTTCAAGAGGAGCCCCTGCCCCGTTCCTGCTGCTGTCTGGGTGCTACTGGGGAAACTGGCCATGGCCTGCAAACTGGGAACCCCCCCCCCCCCCCCCCCCCTGCTCTCCTCTTCCACTTACTCCCCCCCACTCCAAGCCCAGCCTCTGGAGATTGACCTGGATGGGGCAGGCCACCTGGCCCTCACCTCCCTGTCCCCAACACCCTGTGATCTGATCTGAGTCAGGGCCCTGTCTTCTGCTTCATGGGCTGAGATGCAACCATTGTGTCCCTGCCTTCCTGGAGCTGTTTCTGAGGGTATCCGGTGGGGCCTGGACTGGCTGTTTCCACCTCCTGACACCTCCTCCCCACCCCCCTCCCCCAGCATTCTGGACCTCTGGGTTAGCTGGGATCAGAGGTAGGAGTGGAAAGGCTGGAGAAGAGACAGCGGGGGTCGGCTTCTGGGCCTGAGAAGGGCAGTCTTCAAGTTGGGGAGGAGGGTGGGCAGGAGGATGGTGTCTTCGTGCACTCCTGTCCCTTCCTCCCATACCTATTATCCCAGCTGCCTAGATTCAGGGAAAGTGGGACAGCTTGTGGGGGAGGGGCTCCCTTCCATAAATCCTTGATGATTGACAACACCCTTCCTTTTGGTGACCCCAGGAGTTCTGGGAGTTGTAGCTGATCATCAAAAGATTGGGGCCTCCTGAGACGGGCAGGGTTGGCCTCACCCAGTGGGGGCAGGGGAGTATTGAGTATCTGTCCCCCCACCTTGATCTCTGCCCTGGGGAGACCCCTAGCCCTGTCCCCACCCCACGTGCTCAAGGCCAGCCTACAGTCATAAATGTCACCCAGACATAAAGGAAAAGACACATTTTTTAGGAAATGTTTTTAATAAAAGAAAATTACAAAAAAAAATTTTAAAGACCCCATCCCTTCGTGTGCCCCCCTCCTCCTCACTCTTTCCCCCACTGCTGCCCCCACTCCCGAAGTGCACCGGGAGGCTCCCCTTCTGTTTGGGGTCTGACGACTTTTCTTTCTGTAGCTGGGGCTTTGGTGTTCCTTCTCTTGTCACGGCCCATTCACACCCCCCACCCGGTCTCCTCAGTGTCGTCACCAGACCCGAACCCCACTGAGAGGACAGGGAAAGAAGTGCCCTCGCCCAGCCTCTCGCACGTGGTCTCTCTGCCTCTCTCCGGTCTCCTGTCTGCCCTCGCCCCTCTCCCTCGGGCTCTGATGAAAACTTGCTGACTGTAGCTTTGGGAGTGTAGCTCCGAGAACCGTAGCCGATTTCAGTTCTAGGACAATAAAACCCGTTGATTACTAGATCGGATCCGCCTGCTGCTTGGGCCGGGAGGCACGGGAGGGACGGCGGTCGCGGAGATCCCCTTCTCGGGTGGGGTGGGCGCTGCAAGTCCGCGCGCGCCGCACCCCTCGCTCCACGCCTGCACGGTCACCACACCGGCCCCTGGGAGGCCTCGGCGCGGGGCTGGCGGGAGCGGGGTCGTGGGCACCGGCCCAGCCCCCACCGGCCCGGGGACGGGAGCTGCTGCGTCGAGTCCGAGCGGGGGTGCCCGCCAGCCCAAGCGGTGGGGAAGGGCCCGGGGGCCGCGAGCGGCGTCCTCCCACGACCCCGAGTCGCATGAGTCGTGTGGAGCGGCCGGGGCAGGTCATCTCCCGCCCTCCCAGAGCTGACATTTTGTGACAAGCCCATCGACTAGCCTTCGAAGGGCCCACGTTGCAGCCTTTCCTGCAGAAGCCTTAGGGCAGTTTCTTTAATCTGCCCTGACCCCCTGATGCGGACTGGGGCGCGCGGGGAGAGGACGGGCCTCAGCCCTGCCTGGAAGGGGAGGCTCTCGGCTGCGAATGGGAAGCCACAATCCCCTAGAAAATGGAGCCCTGCTCCCTGGAAACTACAATTCCCAACGGCCCTCGCGAAGAGCGCGTGAGGGAACGTTGCCGGGCGCTGAGGCCTATCCCGCCCGGCCTTCAACTTCCGACGTGCTTCTCGGTGTTCTTACGTTTCCTCATTTCCTACCCGACCAAATTTCCTGTTTGCAGCTCGCTTCCAGGCGGCGGACTACAACTCCCAGCTTGCACAGCGAGGTTGGCCCGAGGGTCCGCTCGCATTTGGACTACATTTCCCAGAAAGCCCAGGGACCGCGGCGGTGGGGGGGTGCCAGGGCGCATGTGCAGGCGGCGCGGCGGGAAGCCGAGGTGAGCGTCGGGTACGCACAGGGTGGTGACTTCGCCAGGGTCGTCCGGGAGCCGGGGTCTGGAAGGGCCTTCGTTTGCCCCGGCCGTGCTCAGTGGGCTGCCGGGAACGGGTGGGTGCCGACGACTGCTGGAGCCGGGGAGGGGGGGGCGCGGCGCCGGGGCACGCCGCGGAAGCCCCCCGAGGACGTCCCTCCAGGGTGTGCGGGAGACGAGGGCGGGTCCAGCGGGCCGGCTTCCGGGGTCTCCTCTCGGAGCTGCAGACCCGGGCCCCTCGCCCCGATCCGGCGGCTGAAGTAGCCCCCGGGTTTCCTCGTCTGCGGAACCGACCCAGTGGTCCGTGCCCCTGCCGCTTCGTTCCCAGCCCGGCGGGGCGGCTCCCTGCGCTCGGCGGGGCCCGGGGCTGCGCTCCGACGCGCGGGTTGGATCTGCGGGGAGCCGTGGGCCCGACGTTCGCTGGGGACAGCGCCGGGCGTCGTGGTTTCCGCACAGGGAAGTATGGGGGGGGGGCGGCCGACGCTCAGGCCAAGCGGGTCGGGTTTTGTCCCCCCCCCCCCCCCCCCCGCGCAGTGAGCGTATTGGAGCAGAAGGAAGGAGCCGCGCCCGTTTCCTCGCCTCGAGCGAGCCCTGGGGCTCTCCTTCCTTCCCGAAAAATTTTTTATTTTAAGATTTTTTATTTATTCATTTGACAGAGATCACAAGCAGGCAGAGAGGCGGGGCGGGGAGGGGGTAGAAGCAGGCTCCCCGCTGAGCAGAGAGCCCGACGCGGGGCTGGATCCCAGGACCCTGAGATCATGACCTGAGCCGAAGGCAGAGGCTTAACCGGCTGAGCCGCCCGGGCCCCGCTCTCCCTTCGCATAAATGTCGAGGTCTCTGCCCGAGTGTACGCATGTTTCGTTTGCCGCAAGACGTGCTACCGTTGACAGGACTTCGCTCTGCGCTCTGTTCAGACCGAGGGGAACCTGCGGAGTGTCAGGGGTGAGGAAACAGGCGCAGGCGTTGGGTTGCGGCAGAGTAAGGCGGTGAGCACGGAGGGGCCGCAGCTCTCTGACCCCAGCAGCGCTTTGTGCCAGGAGAATGCCCTTCACTTTGTTATTTTTTAAAGATCTTATTTTTAAAATTTTTTACCTTTTCGACAGAGCGCACAAGCAGGGGGAATGGCAGGCAGAGGAAGAGGGAGACGCAGACTCCCTGCTGAGCGGGGAGCCTCATGCAGGGCTGCATCCCAGGACCCGGGAGCATGACCTGAGCTGAAGGCAGATGATGCTCAACTGACTGAGCCCCCCCAGGCACCCCAAGAATGCTTTATTTGTACGTTGAAGTTAGACTCCGTTCTTAGCTACAAAATAAGATTAACAGTCCCTGCTCCATTCTTTTTCTCTCCCCCTTTTTAAAAAGGATTTATGCATTTATTGGAAGAGTGTGAGAGCATGTGCCGAGGGAGAGATCATCTCTCCCTGCTGAGTGTGGAGTCCAGTGCAGGACTCAGTCTTATGCCCTGAGATGGTGACCTGAGCCGAAATCAAGAGTGCCACGCTTAACCGCCCAACCAACTGAGCCCCCCAGGCACCCCCTCCATCCTCTTCCCTTAGTGCGGGATGCAGGAAAGCTGCGTGGTGCCGGGCAGGTAGAAGAGCTTAGTATTTCTGCCTCGGTTCTCTCATCAGCCCACTGACTTAGTTCATCATCCAAAATTGGGAGGCTCCCAGTACATACTTAGTTGGGAAATCCAGGACTCTGTCATCCTAGAGTCTGGCCCTGGGGCCTTTTCCTTTAGAAAAGAAGCTGTCGGGGCGCCTGGGTGGCTCAGTGGGTTAAGCCTCTGCCTTCGGCTCAGGTCATGGTCTCGGGGTCCTGGGATCGAGCCCCGCATCGGGCTTTCTGCTCGGCAGGGAGCCTGCTTCCCCCTCTCTCTCTGCCTGACTCTCTGCCTACTTGTGATCTGTCAAATAAATAAAATATTAAAAAAAAAAAAAAGGTGTCTTAGGGAGGAGGAGTGCTTGTTTCCTGAATGAATTTAGGAATGGGAAGTGGTGTAGCAACATTTTAATCCCCCCCTTTTTTTCTGTGATTTTTCTTATAATTGCCTGCCCCTTGGCCGTGTGCCCCTGATTTGATCCCCTTCCCGGTGTGTTTCCTACTTGCTGTCTGTGCGTGTATCTGAGAACTGTTTACAGAGTGTCCACTATATGCCGAGCCCTGCTTGGATCTGCCGGACTCAGGGGTGACCCAGATGGCACAGTCCCTGGCCTTGGGGAACTTTTTGTACTTTGAAGTCAGACACATGGGTGTGAATGTCAGTTCTCACGTAGTAGCTTTAGACCACGGGCAAGTCACCGAACCTCAGTAAGTCCTTTGTCATCTGTAAAGTGAAGAGAACATGTCATGGGGATTCAGTGAGATCCATTTAGCAATGGACTGAGCGCAAAAAAAATTCTTTCCCTCGCTTCTTTGCCCACTTGTTTCTGTCTGTCTATTCTGTGGGGGTTTTTTGGCTTTTAGTTAGTTGTTTGTTTGTTTACTGTAGGCTCCACACCCAATGTGGGGCTTGAACTCAGGACCCTGAGCTTGAGTGTCACGTGCTCTCCCGACCAAGCCAGCCAGGCGCCCCTCCATCCATCCACTTCAGAGCTGACTGAGAAGGCTTCTGGGTCTTCCCTGGCCAGGGGACTTCTCCCGGCCTCCAGCCATGCGTCTCTCTGCCCTGCTGGCCTTGGCATCCAAGGTCACTCTGCCCCGCGACTACCGCTATGGGATGAGCCGTCCGGGCTCCCTTGCAGACAGGAGGAAGAACCCTCCAGGGACCCGGCGGCGCCGAGTGGCTGTGGAGCCCATCTCTGATGAAGAGTGGCATCTGTTCTGTGGGGACACGGTGAGAGCCTCGGATGGGGCGGAGTGGCGGGGGGGGCTCCTGGACAAGCGCCCCTCCCTGACCCGCACGTCTTCCCGCAGGTGGAGGTCCTGGAAGGCAAGGATGCTGGGAAGCAAGGCAAAGTGGTTCAGGTCATCCGGCAGCGCAACTGGGTGGTCCTGGAGGGACTGAACACGGTGAGTGGAGAGAGACGGGGCTGCTCCGTTCCTTCTGTCACTGTGCGGTGAGCAGCCAGGGCAGGAGGAGACGAGCTGCAGGGGCAGGGACACAGCTGACTGCTCTGCTGTTCCCCTGGGGCTGAAGGCAACGGCTTTCTTCCAACAGCACTACCGCTACGTCGGCAAGACCGCAGACTTCAGGGGAACTATGATCCCCAGCGAAGCGCCCTTGCTCCACAACCAGGTCAAGCTTGTGGACCCCGTGGACAGGCAAGCACACGTGGCCCTGGTCAGAGGGTTTCCCACCCTGCGTGTCTACGTAGCTGTTGACCACACTGATACCAAAGGAACAGTGGGTCGCGGGCTCCGAAGTTGAGAGGGGCTGTCCATGTGATGGACATGAGCCCCTCTAGGTCACCCCAGTACAGATGAACAGCGACAAGATGGTGACCTGTTTTCAGCCACTGGCTTTTTTGGGCAGAACACGGCAGGAAGAGCTGGTTCCCATGCCGGGTTTTTCTCTTCCACCCACTAGGAAACCCACCGAGGTGGAATGGAGATTCACTGAGGCGGGAGAGCGCGTTCGTGTCTCCTCGAGATCGGGAAGAATTATCCCCAAACCTGATTTTCCCAGGGCAGACGGCATCGTCCCTGAGACGTGGATTGGTGAGGCGTGGACTGAGGGGCAAGAAGGAGGCAGGGGCTGGGAGGAGTGGGAGTGAGGGGTGTTAAGAAGCCCTCCCACTTGTGTTCCTTCCTCTGGCTCAACAAGATGGTCCCAAAGACACCTCGGTGGCAGATGCTCTAGAAAGAACCTACGTGCCCCGTTTAAAGACACTGGAGGAGGAGGTGATGGAGGCCATGGGGATCCAGGAGCCGCGGAGACACAAGAAAGTCTACTGGTACTGAACCCAGGAGAGCAGCCTCTCCCCTCGTCTTCGTCGTGAAGGCCAGGGCCACTCTTCTCCAGACCTCAGTAAAGAGCTAGGAGTCCTCCCCTCCCCTGTGTGCAGCTCTTGCCTTCCGGTAGATGGAGCCACCTGACCCCGGCACTGTTTCTGGGACTGAAGGAAGGGGCCTCCTCACGTACTGCCAGAACCTGGATGGAAGTTTGCCAGCCTCCCCCAGGGCAGGGCCTGCAGCCCGCTGGGCAAGAGACCCGTGAGGGATGGGGCGCCTCCCACGGGGGCGGGCGGTAGGGGTGGGGGGCGTGAGGCCCAGCTGCCGCACCTCAGCATCTTCCCAGAGGAGGCTGATGTCTGTCCTTTTCCACGCTGACCAATAATGGCAGAGAGATGAAGACTACACTTGTTTAATAAATTAAAAATACATCTTTACATTGTAGAACACAAACACGGAACAAGGGTAGAGGATGCTGGCGCTCTGAGTGGTGGGGCTGGGTAGTCTCAGATGGTGTCTGTCAGCGGTCTTCAGTCTCCAGAAGAGAGAAGGCTTCCCCCAGCGGCCTCTTTGTAGCCACCAGAACCAGGTTTCTAGGAGAGAGCTCAGGACTGAAGATGGGCAGGAGCTCAGCGTGGAAGCCTGGGAGAAAGTGGCAGGGCTACTCAGGAAGGAAGAGTGCCGACTCTCAGTCATCCCCTGGCAGCCTGTGGGCAGAGCCCGTTACCCCCGGGGAAGGCTTCAGGGTGTCTAAGCAGACCCAGTTCTCTACCAGGAATATGATGTCCACTGTACGTTCTTGAAGCCTGGGGTTCTGGCTTAAAATGCGGCTCGGGGGCACCTGGGTGGCTCAGTGGGTTAAGCCTCTGCCTTCTGCTCGGTCATGATCTCAGGGTCCTGGGATCAACCCACATCAGGCTCTTTGCTCAGCAGGGAGCCTGCCCCCCCCCGCCCCGGCCTGCCTCTCTGCCTATTTGTGATCTCTGTCAAATACATAAATAAAATCCTTAAAAAAAAAAAATGCGGCTCAAGGTTGGAATCTGATTCCGCAGCGATCTGCACTGACCGGGCTCCCACCCCCGGGCAGCCCAACAGGTGTGGGGGCTGCGGGCCTGGAGGAGGAGCCTCAGCACTCTGGCCCCACCCACCCTGCGTCCTGTCCCCCACCCGGCGCTCACCCTGCTCCTGAAGGTAGAGCAGCCGGTCCAGCAGAATCAGCGTCTCCACTAGTGGGGCAAGAAGCAGCGCCAGGCTGAAGAAGGCCACCACCCGGTTCTCCTGGGACAGGTGGGCCCGCAGGGCGGCCAGATTCAGCGGCAGCCGGGGGTCCAGCCCCACCCGCTGGAGCCCCCGCTGCACATACCTGCGGGGGCCACAGGCGGCACTCAGTTTGGGTTTAAGAACCTCCACTGCCCGTCAAAACCGTCCTCGTTCGACTGCAACTTTGCTTCATGTGTCCCCCTACAACGCATTTTCAAACGTTTCTCTGGCTGTGAGCGGTCTGTCCGGTAGCAAATTAATTGCAAAATATATCTTCAGCCAGATCTGTCCCATTATTTAACTATATTTTCAGCATTTAAAAAACTTAATAGCTCCCACGTAAGAGAGCGACAACTGCCTTCTCAAGAAATTCAGAGAACTGCCCCCGAGACCTCAACACGCACTGACCTGGCACATTTAGGACTTGAGGATAAACCAACAAGCAAGGCTGGGAGGGAATCAGACCTTCAGGCGGTGATGCCCCCCCCCCCCCCCCCCCCTCCCCCCCCCCCCCCAGCCTCACTCTTCGATCTTGAGCTCGTGGACCCTGGGGATCCCCTGCACGCCAGGCCTCCGGAGCTCAGGCCGGGCCCCCCGGACGACGGTCTCCAGGGCTGCCCGGTAGCAGTGGGCGCGGAGGCCGGGGCCGGATCTCCGCAGCCGCCCTGCGTACTCCTCCAGGGCGTGGCAGGCTCCCTCCCGCAGCCGGTAGGGCAGCTCGTGGCCTGGCAGCCCGGCCACCCACTGACTCAGCGGGTAGCCACCAGGGTCGCTCAGCTTCATGTAGCAGCAGCCCACCGAGGCCAGCGCCACCACCTCCGGGCATGAGAAGTGCCTCAGCAGGGCGACGCTCAGGTCCCCGCACACATGGAGGCCAGTCAGCAGCAGGCGGGCCCCGCCCCGAGGCAGGGTCTCCAGGGGAAGCAGCAGCTCCTCGCACAGGGCCGTGGGCTCTACCCACCTAACCACATGTTGTGGGGAGCAGCGGGGGCCGGCGAGGACCACCTGTGCGGGTAGGACGGAACGAGGGCCGGTGTAAGGTCTGTCCGCTGTCCCCGTGCCACCTTGGGTCACAGGAAGAGGTGTGTCCTCTGCATTCCTTCCCAGGAGGGAGAGAAGCTGGGAAATGGGACAACTGAGCCTTGAATCAGGAGCCGGGCTGAACTCTGGGCCCCTCCCAGGGAACTGCAAACCTCCTCCCCGAGTCCCAGTGCCCTCATCCGTCAGCAGCCTGGTACCTGACCGGCCGGCTGGCAGGCGGAGCAGAACACACAGGGTAGAAAGCACTTGGTAACCAGAAAGTCCCTGTAAGATCTGAGGAGGCTCTGATGAAAGGGGGCCCTCGGGCGGCGGTGGGGGGAGGGGGAGGGCAGCAGGATTAGAGACGGCACCATCTCAACCCCGGAAACGGGAAAGAGCAGGTCCAGCTTCCGTGCCCCAGTCCAGCCAACCAAACCCCGCCCGCGGCCCCCGCTGCAGGGAAGCCGGCCTACCTGTGGGTGCCTCTTCTCCTCTTTCTCCAGAGCCTGCAGGAGCTCCTGGTCCAGGCGCTGGGCTCTCTCCACCAGTCTCGGATCCCCTTCAACGCTCTTCACCGTCAGCCCCAGCCCCAGGGACATGTACCGGGAGAGATGGCCCTGGGGTCACGAGAGCGAGGACGGAGACAGCCCTGTTCAGTGCCCCTCCCGAGCGCCTCCCTCGAAGGTGGCCCAGACCCCCAGAAAGCTTATCCGCCCGACGACTTCCACCACTCCCCAGCACCTGTTTCCAGGGGCCTGTGGACTCACGACCTGCCTCCTGCTTTCTATCCCCACAACTCAAGAAAAGAAACCCCAAACCCCAAACCGCAGAATATTGGGGGTCTGACCCACCTGGCCTGAACCTATATCCACAACCTGGGTGCAGCCCGTGAGGTCACTCAGCTTCTTCACCAACTACAAGAGGCGGGAACAAAGCTCTCCTGGCCACTGGTCCTCGGTTCCCAGAGCAAACACCCACAGTGAGGGGGGAGGGGCTGCAGGGGGCGGAGGGAGATGGGGGGGGCCACGAAGAGACAGGAGATGCGGAAACCCAGAGGAAGGGCGCTGACCCCAGGCTCAGGCTCCACTCCCTGCTCCTCTCAGTACCAACAAGCAGAGGAGCCCCGCCGGGAAGCCCAGAGCAGACGGTGGCGGTGGGAAACGGGAAGAGGACAGTGATTTGGACACAGCCGCCAACCAACCCATCCAAAGGACGAACAGGTGACCCAAAGGCAGCCTCGAGGCAGGATTATGGCACGCCTGCCCAGGGCCGTCATGCCGGTGACACAAGGTGCCCACACCGCGGTAACCCACAGCGTGTGCTCGCACACGCCGCCGCACGCCAGCCGTCTCACCTCTCCCAGCCTCCGGATCTCGTGCTGCTTCTTGGGCCTGACGTGTTTGCGGAAGGGAGCTGTCAGGCGGGAGCTCTGGCTGGGGTTCTCCAGGAACTCGGAGGGGGTCTGAAACCCAGGTGTCCGGGTAAAGGCCAGGGCACAGGCTGTGGACTTCAGGGCGAGCAGGGAGAGGGGCCACACCGAGCTGTACCTGCGACAGGCCGGCCGGGACCCCAGTGAACAGCTCCGTTGCAACCCAACCGCGCCAGTCTGCAACCCAGGAAGCCCCGGGGGAGACTGTGAGCCTGAGTCCCCCAGCCCGGGGCCCCTCTTGCCCATACCTGACCACTTCCCCTTCCCCGGGCACCCCCAGCAGCTGTGTGGCCAGCTGGGGAGGCTTCAGTCCATCCAGCGCTTCCTGCCATGAGCCTGGGAGTGTGGCCCACAGGTTGTCTGTGAAGAATTCCTGCAGGAGGGGAGAAGCGGGCTGGCCACTGCCCTCCCCACTCCTCCCGGGCCCTCCAGACAGAGGGCCGCCGGCTGCAGCCAGCAGGTGCCCCTCCCCAGCCTGGTCACTGCTGCCCCCACACCCCAGGGGCCCAGGCAGCATCCCGGACCCGCCTCTCCTTGCTGCACTCCCCCCGCCTGCTGCTCTGTGTCTGCTCCACACAGCTGAGCCTGAGGGCGGGGCCAGCGTCTTCGCCGCTGCATGGGCGACAGCACAGTGACGGGCCTGTGGCGTCAGCACGCTGCCACTGAGCACTCTGCCGTTATGCGTGCTGGACGCTGCACGTGCCAGACGGCATTTTTAGTCACACGCTGTTCCCCACCTGTTCTGGAGTTCTGCTCACGCACCAAGCTCCAGTCTAGGCTCAGAGAACACACAAAGAAACAGACACTGTTCTTGTTCTCGAAAAGCTGACCAAAAAAAAAAAAAAAAAGTAGCTCCAAGTAGCATCAAACGCCAGGCCGACCGCCCTGATCAGGCGGGTCTGACGGAGTCTGAGAGAGCACTCCTCCAGAGAGAGCAACAGGGACTTGTCTGAGGAGCTGGCGCTCGAGCCCAGACGCGGATGATGGACACACAAAGGCAGATGAGCAAGGCCAGGCAGTAGTTGCGGAGGGAGGGAGGATGTGGGGCCAAAGAGAGCAAACTGCTGGTTGTAAAACAAACACACCTCGGAGAAGTAACGTACGGCAGGCTGACTACAGCTAGCAGTGCTGGACTGCATATTTGAAAGTTGCTGAGCGTAGATCTTAAAAGTTCTCATCCAAAAAAAGTGGATCTGCCTTCAGCTCAGGTCATGATCCCAGGGTCCTGGGATCAAGCCCCAAACTGGGCTCTCTGCCAGCCGGAAGCCTGCTTCTCCCTTTCACTGTCTTTCTGTGCTCTCTCCCTCTCTCAAGCAAATAGTCTTTTAAAAGTTCCGCTAACAGGAAACACTTATCAAAGACTTTAATATGCCAGGCGCTGCCCAAAACATTTTCCCCGTATCAATGCATTTAATCTTCAACCAAACCTGTAAGTAGCCGCTCAGCTCCCGTCTTACACCTAAGGAGACTGCGCGTTGCAGTTCAGTAACTTGTCCAACTCGAAAACCTAGTTAAGTAGCAAAGCTGGGATCTGAAACCGACTGGACTCTAGTTCTTGCCCCTAACCCCGCTGTTCTACTGCCTTCCTGTGCAGGAAAACATTCAGGCACACGAGTAAGTGCAAAGGCCCAGGTGCCCACCATGTCTGCAGAACAGAAATCAGGCCAGAGTACGTGTGGAGAGTGAACGTGGGAGAACCAGCGTGATGGCCTTCAAGAGGCAGCAGGGCACAGACTGTGCAGCGTTTTCTAGATAACAGTGAGGAGTTAAGAGCTCACGAAAGCATCCAGGAAACAAGGCAGCATTTTTTTTTTCTTTTTCAAAGATTTTATTTATTTATTTATTTATTTGACAGAGATCACAAGCAGGCCGAGAGGCAGGCAGAGAGAGAGGGGGAAGCAGGCTCCCCACTGAGCAGAGAGCCCGATGCAGGGCTCGATCCCAGGACCCTGGGATCATGACCTGAGCCGAAGGCAGCGGCCTAACCCACTGAGCCTCCCAGGTGCCCCTTCTTTTTTTCCTCTTAAGCAAACTCTACACCCAACCTGAGGCTCACACTTACTACTCTACCACTGATCCAGCCAGAAACCCCTCATCAGATGTGGGTTTTAAGGAGATCAATCAGGCTGCTTTGTGAAGAAGTGGTCACAGAGCGGACACAGATCAGTTAGAAAGCGGTCCAGGAGCGAGAGGACAGTGGCTTGGCCCCCCGGGGGTAGTAATGGAGATGGGAACAAACGGGTGAACTTGGTATCTATCCTGCAGGCAGAGCTCAGGGAAGGCCTCGAGGGCACATCAGCGAAGGAGAGAGCTGCGTCAAGGGTGCTTCTGGGTCTGGGGGCCGAACGCGTCCGTGGACGCCGGTGCCATTCACCCACCGGCTCCCTCACGCTTCCCCGTGAGCCTTCAGACAGCGGTGAAGACCACGGCGGCGAAGCCGGGGCTCGGAGTTTCTTTAAAGGCCTCGGCTGACCCGGCGAAGGAGGCAGGAAGGCAGCCCGACCCCGAAGCTCTAACTCCACGCCCCGCTGAGCCAGGGGTTCAGCCACAGCGGGGCGGATTCCGGGACAGCGCGCCCGCGCCCGCGCCTCCCTCGGGACGTGCGAGGCGAGCAGCCGCCCCGAGGTCAGGAGTCCTCACGCGCACGTCAGCTGAACACCGAGGGCGGAGGACCCCCTCCTGCACAGACGCGCGGAGGACCGGGCAAAAGCCACCCCCCGGCCCTCCGCCCGCCGCGCGCACCCCTCCCGCCGCGCCCCCAGCCCCGCCCACACCCCGGGCTCACGATGATGTAGGCGTCCAGGATGGGGCGGTAGCGCGCCAGCACGCGCGTGAGCTTCACCGCCAGCTGTCTCCGCTGCTCCGGAGAGAGGCCGCGCGCCGAGACGCCCGGCATCCCGGGGGCCAGCCGGGGCGTCGGCCGCGAGCGCGCGCTGTGCGGGGACCAGGGTCGGGGCCACGGGGGTAGGGCCCTCGGCTCCCCACACCCCCGACACCTCTTACCCCGCGGGCCGCTGGGGCGGAAGACCGGACGCGCCCCCTGACGTCACAGCTCGCGAAGCGGCGCGGGCGCACACGTGGGGCGGGGCGCCGCGCACGGCGTCACAGAGGCGTGCCGCGGCGCCCGGGCCCGCCCCTCCCTGAGCAGTTCCCGCCTGCCCCGGAAGTGGGGCCGGTCCCGCGAGCGGCGTTTCTCGCGAGGCGCGGCCTCCCCACCTTCGAGTTGTACCTCCACGGGGCTAGAGGGGCCGGGGAGCGCGTCCCGCCCCCGCCGCCCCCCACGCCGCCGCCGCCGCCGCCGCCACTGCCGCTGCTCACGCACTCGGAGTCCCTGGCCTCGCTCCCGGAGGCGGGGGCGCTGCGGGCGCGCGCACGCCGGCCCCCGGCACGGTCCAACCCGCGCGCCTACCGGCCGGGACCTCGCCGGCGCGCGCCGACTTCCTCATCCGGCTCCGGGCGCTTCCGCTCTTAGCGGGGCCGCTGGGAGGTAGGTGTGGGCGCGAGGGGCGCTCGCCGTGGCCGGACCCCCCCCCCCCCGGCGTGCTCGCCGACGTAGGCGGCCCGCAGCGGCGGTTCCCCCGGCGGATGGGTGTTGTCAGAGGGCCTGTGTCGGGAGCGGGGCTGAGGTGCGATGCGCGCGGGGGTCGCCGCACCGGGGGCCGAGGGAGCCGCGCGGGGGGGGGCGGGGCGATCCAGACCCCCTGGGCCGGCCCCGCCACTGCCCGCGACCACACTAAGACCTCCCCGCCCGGGCGGACGATGGAGCTCCCCGGTTCTGGCTCGCCGGGCTCCGACTTCGAGCTCGTTGGCCCGACAGCCCCCTCGGTTTCGGAATGAGACTGAGCTCGGCCGAGGGCAGGTGACCCTTGCGAGCCTTGCAGCTGGTGAGCTGGGGGCCGCGCCAGCGTCTTGGGTTCCCGGCTCGGACCGTGCTCCGAACGGCGTTTCCCGTTCCGGGTTCATTCCCACTCTGGCGGGTGGCTCTGCTGTCTTTCCAGCCTTAAGCCCCCCCGCAGGTGGGTCTTACCGTTCCCCAGCGGAGCCGGCTCGGTTACGAGGTTCGCTTTCTTCCCCAGGGTGTCCTCCAGACCTCCCGATGTCGGCCCGCGGGGTTCGGCAGAGGATGAGTCCTCCGTCTTCTTGTCATCAGTAACCATTCTTCCCACCTGTGCCCTCGCCATCCGCTGTTCTCATGTCTACCTTGCTCCTCAATCTGGATTTTGGTGAGCCTCCCCCCAAAAAAGGATTTGAGGGGAATGCGAAGCACCGTAAATTCGTCAGGAAGCGGCGATTCTTGGAACGGAGGGGCTTTCTGAATAAGAAGAACCAGCCACCGAGCAAGGCGCCTAAGCTGAACTCAGAACCTGCAAAGAAAGGGGAGACTTCGAGCGCGGATGGCACTTGGAATGTCTCTCCCCTTCCAAAAAAGAAGACCGTTGTCTCCAGCAGTGGACCAGAGCAGTCCCTGGACAAGAAGGCTGCAGTGCCGTGGCTGACCCCAGCCCCTGCGCAGAAGGCCGGGTCCGCGGTGGCGAAGGTGGATTTGCTGGAGGAGTTCCAGAGTGCCCTCCCAAAGATTAGGAACCATCCAGCTCGCCCCCACAAGAAGGGCCCCCAGAAGAACCTTACTCAGAAGAATGCCCCACAGAGCTCCCCCCAACCTCATTCGGACGATAAGTGTTCCGCAGCATCTCAGAAGATGCCGAAGAAGATGGTGGCCATTGACTGTGAGATGGTGGGCACGGGACCCAAGGGGCACGTCAGCTCCCTGGCCCGATGTAGCATCGTCAGCTACCATGGAGACGTGCTCTATGATGAGTACGTCCTTCCCCCCTGCCACATCGTGGACTACCGGACCAGGTGGAGTGGCATCCGGAAGCAGCACATGGTGAATGCTACCCCCTTCAAGGTCGCCCGGGGCCAGGTGAGAGGCATGGGGTGCGCTGGACACAGCAAGGCTCGGGCCCTTCCTCAGCCAGCGGGGTCAGCCTGGGAAGGAGGCAGGTGGACGGCCAGGTGAAGGGGGCTTCCCGCTGAGGTGAGGCAGGCTGAGAGTCCGGGAAGTTCCAGGTCGCTGCCGTGACCGAACCGGGGCAGCTGAGACCTACCTGCGCTCCCGAAACCATTTCTCCTCTGGGAACTGGGAATCCACACAGGGAGGGAACCGCTGCCCAGGGGCAGAGCAGCAGCCGCGAAGGGCGAGGGAAAGGGCTCCGTTTGGGAATGGCTGGTAGAGCTGGAGTTTGGGGTTGAGCACGGAGAGGTGGAGACAGTTCTCAAGCTTCAGCGTGGCAGGAGTGGGACTGGCGGGGGCCGCCTGCGCAGGGTGCTGTGCGCACCTGGGGCAGGTGGCCTGAAACGGAGGGGATGTAACTCACGGGGCAGGCGTGTCGGGGCTCTCGCTTCACTCACGGAGCACACCTCTCTTTGGTGGCCCCGTGCTGGAGGCCCGACGGGGGAGCTGCGCGGAGGGACAGGGAAAGGGTGACCCGAGGGGCGGGAGGAGGTGGAGAGGAAGCGGCAGGTCTCAGGGGGCCTCCAGGGGGCGCCCGTGGTTTGCGTCGGTGGCTTCAGCTCCGCGTTCTCCGACCCGGCCGCTCTGTCTGTTCTGCTGGTTGTGTTCTCGTCCTGACCGTCGAGGAGCGTCGTCAGAGCGGACGGGGCCGATCCTAGAGAGTACTTGGGAGGAAGGGCCGCAGACCGTGGGCACGCTGAGCAGGGCTGGGGAGAGGCGGGAGGTGGAATGGGTCTGAGATCTCAACTCCGCTTACCTCGGAGGAGGGCTGTGTGTCGAATGAACGCCCAGCGAAGGTGTTGGCGGCTGGCAAATGGCAGTTGCTGTCGGGAACCTGCAGGGACCTCGTTGATCGTGGACTCCCGTCCGGTTTTCGTCCTGACGCCCTTCCCGGTGCCCACGCTGGGGTGTGAGGCTAGAGGGTCTGGCCCCGTTTGGGGGCTCCTGGGGGTTCTGCACTGACCACAGGACTGCCGCTCTTGTTCACAAATGGGGCCCCACTTGGGGAATGGCCTTCAGACCTCATGGCACATTCTTTGGTTGTTCTCCTGCCTTAAGATCCTGAAACGGCGACAGGTTATTGCTTGGTCTCAAGATTAGTGTGAATAAGGTTCCCGGGCAGCTGGGGAATGGGGAGAGCAGCGGGGCTGGCGTTCCAGGCTGCT